TCATGTTAGTGGTTTCCACCTAGTATCTGATGATCCTTCATATTGTAGAATATTAAATAACTAATTGGAACCTGTGTGTAAGGTTGGAGCTTGTTGAATGGCTGGTGTCATTGTAGTGAAATTGGACACTAACTCATTTTTTGTTGGGAGATAAACAGTTTATCACTATTTCTGGTTTCTTTTTCTTGGAGTGGCCAGTTTTCCCAGAAGGAAATCCTTCCATTTCCTTCCTGGAGGTTGTAAGCCTGGCGCTTGGAGTTCTTACAGAGTAAAAGAAAAGGAGATCCTATTATCCAGTACATATACTCTATACAGATTTTTAGACAATGTCCCGTTTTTTAGCATGCACCCTTTTCTTTGGTTGTATCCCTTAGTCCAGAGTCCTTCTGGTTTAATCTCTCCAGAGTGAATCCGTTAGTCTTTTGCTAGGATGAGTGTGGGATAGTTGCATGGCTGCATGGATTAAGGGAAAGGATCTGTGATCATTAAGTAGACTTTCAGCCACTCATCTTTTTAGCTTCATCTGCCTTCATGCCCTCTCAACTGCCTGGTTTCTTTAATTCTTATCTTTCCAGGGCTTATTGAAGATCAACTTGCTTCTTAGTTTACCCAGGGGCACTTTTCTCTGTTCTACTAAGTCATCTCATTGCTACTTGCTCATCAAATATCCATCTTCCAAGATTTTAATGACAGCTCTTGCCTCTTTGAGAGCTGCACATTCAGCTTTTGTCTTTTCATTTTTATTTATTTGTTGGTTTAGGGCCCTAAAATTTTTTTCTTAATAGTCTTTTGGTGGTGGTTAAGGAAGGGACAGAGGTAAACTTACGTATGGTTTGACTCCTCAATCTTTTACTTCCACACAGATGTACAGGTCATTCTCATTAGTTTATCTTTTAATTTGTAGATGATAATTATAAGAGTGATCATAAGTTGATTACTGAACACTGGAGAGTTGACATTGAGGGTTAAGGTCTTAGTGGTGATGGAAGAATTATGGCGGGCAAGAAAGTTGGTGGAAAAAGAATTAGGGTTAATCGTGCACCGTAGGACTAAGAATATGTGTTAGAAGTTGATATTTTTCAGAAAAGTACTACAAGGAGAAGAAATAGTAGTACATTATTTTATATTAAATTGTATTATAAAAATTCTTTTAGATTATTCCATTGGTAGTGTGTACAGTGTAAAATTGTGTTTCAATTGTAGTGCCTTAGCGATTCCCTCTTCTTTCTCTAGTAGGCTATGATAGCAGTATTTGAGTAAACGTATGTAAAAGTGCTGAGTAAAGGCATTATTTCAAATGTAAGATATTGTCACTGCCTTTGTGATTTTCTTCTTGACTCATGTCACCTGACTGTACCTCTTGCCAAAATATTGCACCTTTTCTCTAAATTAAGTTGTGTATAAAGTTCAGCTGATTCTCAGAGTTAAATACATTGAACAGTGGCTAGAGTATTTACAGTATTTTGGCCTCCACATGTAACAGTAATAAATAGTGGCTTGTGTTAAGCTGCCTAGTTGCTAGATGTATAGTGCTGCCTATATCCAAAGCCATGCTTTTTTAGTTTCAGAGCTTTTGCTCTTTTTGTTTCACCATGTTATTTCCCTAACAGGACATTTCCTTTCACAATCCCAGGAAGCAGCATTCATGTAGAACACAATGTGAATGGTGCCCTGAGTTGTGTAATGCTAAGACTCTGCTCCTCTCTACCTTCCTAGTGCTTATGTTTGGGGTGTTTTACAAATTTTGGTTTGAAGGTGGAGTAGAAAGAAACCATGATTATTTTTTATTAACATTTTTTTAAGAGCAGTTTTAGGTTCACAGCAAAATTGAGGGAAAGGTTCAGAGATACCCCACGTATCTTCTGTCCTCACACCTGCATAGCCTCTCCCAATATTAACATCCCCCACCAGTGGTACATTTGTTACAATTGGTGAACCTACATTGACACATCATAATCACCCAAAGTCGGTAGTTTATGGTACCAAGATTATTTTCTACTAGCAACTTTTCTCCATTGTTGAAGTTTATCAAGAGATGACTATAATTGATTTTTTAAAAATCTGAGCTTGTGGCATTAAAAATAAATTACTTTATAAAAAAACATTTGTTAAGGAGAAATTATGCATAATGATGTTTTAGTTATTAAAACAAGTTTTAAAATATCTGAGAAATGGTCATAAAAATGTGAACTAAGTTCTTGATAGTATTAGTCTAAACCAAGATGCTTTATATAAATATATGAGATTCTTATCCGAAGAAGTTTCAGGCAACTTCTTCTGATAAGAGTCTTATATATAGCATGCATTAGATATTAACAAAGACTATTTGTGATTCAAGGTAGAGTCTCAAACTTTGTAAACTGTAAAAGAAGCAGTGTTATAAAATAATTTAAAAACAAAGCCATTTTGGCCTATTTATATTCTTTTGCTTTTTGTATCTACCAAAAACTAATTCAATTCTTTTGATTCTGAACACCATCAGCAATCCTTGAGAGAATCCTTCAGTAGCTTTTGTCTGCTGACCGCTGTGTAGGTTCTTTATATCTTTGAAAAATTGACATAGAAGGAGAGTCTGACTGAGGGGCTTGAGGGCTGGGGGAGGATATTATTCCATTTTGTATCCCTCTCATCATCTAATGATAGCCAGCTCTGGTAGTCTAAGGGGTAAGATTTGGCGCTCTTACTGCTGGGGCTCCAGTTTTATACCACCTGTCTGTCGGTTGTCATACTGTGGTGGCTGCGTGTTGCTTTGATGCTGAAAGCTATGCCACAGGTACTTCAAATACCAGCAGGGTCACCCATGGTGGACAGATTTCAGTGGAGCTTCCAGATTAAGACAGACTAGGAAGGAGGACCTGGTTACCCACTTCAGAAAAAATTGGCCATGAAAAGCCTATGAATAGCAGTGGAGCATTGTCTGATATATCACCAGAAGGTGAGAGGATGGGCCAAAAAGACTGGTGGAGCTTTCCACTCTACTGTACACAGGGTCACTAGGAGTCAGAATCAACTTGACAGCACTAACAACAACAACATCATCTAACATAATGATTGGAGCGGGGTAAATTATTCATTGATTATAATTTCCAGCAACCTCAGTAGATGAGTAGAGCTCAGCATAGCTCAGCTTCCTTTCTTATAAGAAGAAATGTAATCCAGGCTTTGCCACTTTCTGACTTGAGCCTTGGGCAAAATCCTTATTTCTCTGTCTTAGTTTTCCCATGTGTAAAATGGAATAGTAATAGCTACCTTGGGTTTTTTTTTTCCTGTGATGAATAAATAAAATAACAAACTAGGCATAGTGCATGGCACTTGGTAAGTGCTCAGTGTATGTTAGGTGCTATAACTAGTACTACTGCTACTACTATTACTACTACTTTATATAAGTTTTGTTGGCATCATTTAATTTTCTGAGATACTGCTTCTTACGTTTTTTGAGTCATGAATTTTGAGAATCTGATAAAAATCTGATAAAAACATAGAAAAATGTATAAATACACAACATTTTAGACTCCTGCTCTGAGGATAATAGACACCACTTCAAATGGAAACAATGCAAGTGGTGAATATTGCAAAATATCAACCGATCAATACAGGTTTATATAACAACCAAATGGAAATTAGAAAATTAATAGGTCCGTCTGAAGTAAGGGTTACTATGTGAGAAAGTGTTTCTTAAAATGATATCCTTTAACCATTTGCAAATCATGTAGTGTATTAGTTAAACTGCAGATTCCTGGGCTGCATGTTAGGAAGACTCATGGAGGATTATGGGGCTGCTTGAACGCACTCAAGTTTGGGATCAAAGATTTCCTAATAATGTTTAATATATCTATCATAGAAAGTTTATGGTTTTCTTAATTATTCATACATAGTTTTGCTTAAAAGAGTTTCAAATACAAAGGATAGTATATATTTGATCAAAATGTGGAATGGGGAAAAGAAGGGAAATTGTGTTGGTCGATGTTCATGAATATAGGCAAAATGAGTTGTAAAGTCTTCTGTGATGGGATCAAATTGTGTTAAACACCCTAACTCTTTCACTGCTAACTGCAGGATTTTGAGTAAAAATTACTTAACTCTTCTAATTCGTTGTGTCCTAATCTGAAAATGAGGATAATAAACATCTTTACTATAAGCCTGTTGTGAGGATTGAGTGAGATAACATGCATACTACTTAGTAAGCCTTCAGTAACTGTTAGTTGATTAGAGTTCTTCATCATCATCATTATTATTTTAGTGGTTTGCAGTATTGTTAGTATAATATTCTTAAGGTTTCTCTGCCTGTTTAATTCTCACCTACTCTTCAGGGGCAAAATGAATTTCTTCCTTTGGCATTAAGTTTTCCCTACCGTTTATTTCATGGTAATTATTCCCTTCTGTGCTTTTATGTCCTTTAGCAAGCAGCATATAGTAAAGACATTAATATTCATTTTTTGGGTTAATTGATACAGAATCCCTTTGACTTCCTTTATCTACGCATGGCATGTCAATTTTGCTTATAAGCTAGTGTATTTTAACTTGGGAGCTGTTTCAAGCTATGTTGTTTCTCTTTTCTCTCTCCACCTGACCAAGATATTTTGAGGAGTCTTTATTCAGGAAGTTTCCTGTTTAAATTAAATGTCTCTGCCTGAATGAAACTCAATTTATAAGTTAAATTTGTTTCAAAATAAAAATCTTATTCTATATTCTAAAACCAAATATAATTTTTTAAGTCTCCTGTTTTTTAAACAAATATTTGTTTAAAATATTTACTTTTATTTCTTGAGCTTGACTAATGAAGAACTGACTGCATAAATATAGTTAGGAGACTTTAGCCCATTTATTTTAAAATTGCATCCTTTCACCTCCTAAACACTAAACTATGAAGCTAACACAAATACTGTAAGAACATCTGAGGTAGATAATTAAAGTATAATTAAGTTTAAATGCCTTGGTGAAGGAGTATAAAAATTATTTAAATTCAATCGGCTAGTACATTTGCAGTTTTCTTTTATTAGGTGTGAAATCTAAGAATCCCCTGCCAAGTCTTGAGGGCTCAATCCAGAATGTTGAATTGAAGTACTGCAGCACATCATTGGTCAAATGTGCCTCTGGGACCATGGGATCAATAAAATTTTGTGCCAAAGCCCCAGGTATGTGCAGCTGGACCATGTAAAACTTTATTGCCTGTATAGGAGAATTGGCCTTGCATTTTACAAGGAGTGTTACTGAAACAAGAATTTACTCATTGTTCCTATGAATCAGAGGTTTTAAATTTTTTTATTTTACTTTAAAAAATTTTTTAATTGTGCCAGGATGATACTTCTTTACTTTAATAAGTTAATTTTTATTTAAGGAAAAAAACTTTGCATAGTTTTAAGAATGGTTATGAGGGATAAAAATTAAAGGAAAGCTTATTCTCATACTTTTTTTGGAGAATAGGAGGTATAGATATATATGACACTTAAAAATTAAATTAAAATGTTGTTAGTATAATAAAATTAAACAGAAAACCCAGCTGTTTTTCAATTTAAGGTTATAATTGACTTCACCTTTCTACCAATACTTTATTTCATAATATTTTCCTTAAAATATTTGTAATTTAATTGTTTTCAGTGCAAACTGAATTTCTAGATAAGTTTAAGGATGTATAGATTCCATTGAATATTTAAAATACAGTGTGTTCATATTCTTTCCTTTTATAAGCTTTTCTGAACATGTTCTACATTCATTAGCTAGATATTAAAACTTAATTTTTTAAGAGTTAAAAGTGCTTTTAATTTTATCAGTCATACTTTTTAGAGTATAACTAAATGTACAGCTAAAATTACCAAATAGAATTGAAATGTTGTATTATGATGTTAGTATATTTTAAGATCAAGCGTCCTCATGCTACTCCTCTATTTTATTTTATAAGATTTTTTTCATAAATGTTTCTCTTCAGGTGATAGTGGAAAAGAGAAGTTGATTCCATTGCTTCAGGGTCCTTCTGACACTAAAGACCTTCATAGCAGCAAGTGGCTCAATGAGAGTAGAAAGCCAGAATCTCTCTTAGCTCCAGATTTGTTAGCCTTCACAGTCCAAGTTCCGCAGTATATGGACTACTGCCACAATTCCGGTAAGTACAAACTTATCATTATTCATTTATTTTGCATTTTCTTTTCCAGTAAGGCTTTTAAAATTGGACTTTTTCTTTCTGTCTTTCTTTTTTTTATAATTTGTATCCATTGGGTTACTCTCTGTATCTGCAATTGGGCCCTTTGAGAATTCAAATAAAGTATTTTTCTATCATTTTTGATAAATGGACATGTGTTGGCAAACAATAATGATTTTATTTTATATGAGAGATAATTCAGTTGTATGTATAACAATCTTAGATTTGTATCTACCAAATCCAACTGAGTTTTAAAATGTACCATATCATATAATACGTAGAAAGGAGTAAAAGAAATTTAAAATATTGGAAAGAGAAAATATTTTTCTTGGAATAGTAGCACCTTGTGACCCACTGTTTGCCATATTAAAATTAGGTGTTTGGGCCTTATGTGGTTTTACAAAAAAGAAAAGATGTTGATGGTGGGGCCAAGAAAACTCTGAGGTCAAGATCTTATTTCTTAGAGTTATATTTTTATCTAGTAGCACTTTGCCTAGAATCTGTTTCATTTTATTCAACACCATAATAGCAGAGCCACACCTCTCATGTTGAGAGGAGATACCAGAAGGATCAATGAAGACTCGATTAAAAAATGTATGGTAAGTAGAGATCAATATCAGCCATGAGTTCAATTAGTCAGTTTGTGGTTGGGAAAGCCAAGGTGGTCAATCAATGAGGCTAGAGATAAGATAGCTATATAAAGATTTCTTTAAAGGGGGGGGGGTGTGTGTGATTTTTTTCTTTAGAATTAATTGGCCAGTGAGGAAATGATTTCAAATAGCTGCCTAAGAGTAGAGCTCCATTAACATTATTTAATAAGTGCTGTAGCTTATAGAAAATATGTTAAGCATCACTACACTAATTTCAAAGTAGAAACCATGAAGAGATTTGTAATTAACTGACTAGACAGAGACTCTATGGAGGTGAACATTCAAAGCAATGCACGAGCGCACATATGCAGGGACACAAAAAACATTTAAAAGCTGAATTGTGTTTCAGTGGCATTTGCAGTGGAATGGCATCCACATTAGAAACTGGAAATTAGTATTTGAAAGGAGAATTTGAGGACCCACTGTCAGCATGCTTCTAAAGGCAATACTTCTCAAAAAGAAATTATCAGTCTGGTGAGAATGGGTATGGAACCCTGAGGCAAAAATGTGAGCATGGGGCCAAGACTCAAACTAAGACTGTGACTATGGGTAAAAGATTTTACCAGTCTTTTAAGGCAGCGGTTGGTAAACATTTTAATAAAGGGTGAGATAACTAATATTTTAGGCTTTGTGAGCCATATGGTCTCTGTCTCAGCTATTCAGTTCTGCTGTTATAGCACAAAAATAGCTATAGACAATATGTAAACAAATGAATGTGACTGTGTGCCAATAAAACTTTACTCACAAAAGTAGGGGGTGGGCCAGATTTAGCCTATGTGGTTTGCCTACCCTTGTTTTAGGGAGAGGGGATTGTTGGTTAAATAAATATCATGTTTTTGTTAATGCCATTTAATCATATTCCTTAAATATACTATTTGTTAAACTCCGTTATATAATTATCCATGTAGTAGTTTTTGGTAGGTTTTGTTTTCAAATTATCAGATCATTAAAATGTTACTAAAATGACCAGATCATCCAGTTAGAATTTTGGCACCTAGGAAGGAACAAAGCTTATTTGAATCTACTATATATTCTTAAGTTGGACAGGGTCTCCTTGTTTGTTTAGCCATGTATACAGTTAGAATGAATTAATGAGTCTAGCTTATTTAAATAATAATCTGATCTTTCTTATAACAATATTCATATTATTCTTTGTAATTTAAATGCATTTCTAGGGTCACAGAAATGTATTTGCATTTCTAACCTTTTATATGGGCCTAAAAGTAAACTATTATAAAAAAAATTATACGTATGATATTTCTAGGGTAAAGTTTTACATTTTTTCTTGCTGTTAAGGGAATTCACCTAATCTTCAACATTAGTGTTATCTTTAGTGATATGTTTATGGATTTGTGTGTAAAATTTTATTATAATCATATATTTGGTGCTTTGAAAATATTCCTTTGAGTATGTTTTAATCCTAAAATGTAATGTGTTTTTGCTTAAACTACATTCACATACTTTATTTAGGGCATTTTTAAATTTAAATTTTCCGTTCACCTTGAACTGCCACCCACATTCATGGCTTAGGTATTTATGATACGGCTATGAGAGAGCTCATAAGTATTATTTTTTAAAGCCAGTTTTAAAATAATGTTGATTAATCTTATGTTCCTGTAACAAGACTTAAAGTGGAGATGTATGTGTGTGTTTGTGTATGTGTGTATGACTGATGGTATAGACAAATTGTAAATAAATAAATTTTAAATGAAATAATTTGTAACAATCCTTTAAGACTTTACTGAAATATCACCCTTTCAGCAAGTACTTTCCTTGCCACTATATAGTTTTTTTGCTCTTTCTTACACACATGCACATGCACACATACATGCACACATATTTCTTATTTCCCTACTCTTATTTAGTTTTTCTTAGTACTTATCACAGTCTACCATACTGTATGTGTTACTGATTTATGTTGTTGACTTTTCTTCCTGCTATTAGAATTTATGCTTCATTGGGGCAGGAATTTTTGTCTTTTTTGGTCACTGCTGTATTCCTAGTGTCTAGAAGAATATCTCGCACATAGTAGGCTGTCAACAAATATTTAGTGAATGAATGAGCAAGAAAGTGATGATTACATTTACTTTTCTTTGGTTTTTGAGGCTGGAGCACTTAAGGGAAATGACAGAGAACAGGAGTCTTTCCTGATGTTTAAAAAAAAGATGCTAGGTAGTTAAATCCTAGGTGAACAATTAAAGAGAAGCAAAAGTAATCCCTATTGTCTTTTTTGCAGACAGATATCCAGATGAGGTTGTTAATGAACTTTTCCTATGGGTTTATAGACTTTGAATGGGAAGTATTGGAATGTAGAATAGTAAGTGACCAGCTAAGTGATTTGAGGCAAATTACGTATTTTAGAAGAGTCTGGTGATCATTCTAACTGGCTTCTGAATATCATGGCATGAAGTGTGGAAGACAACTGCCTTTGTGCATGTTCTCCCAAACTGAAGGTGGGGGATTAAAACTGGGGACCAGCAAATGTTGTGGATATTATGTAGAAGTCAATTAGGAAGTGAATTTTGAGAGAAGCTCAGTTAGATAAAAAGGCACAGTTTTTGGCTCTGACTTCAGAATGTGAGGGAATGGACAGCTTTGTTAGTAGGAATTAGGTATTAATATGACTGAGCGAAATATTAATCGTATTAGTAAAACTCATTACAAAAATAGTATTTTACAATTTAAAAATCACTTTCATATAAATTATTTATTTATAAAACAAAACTGTTTTCAGCAGATCAAATGTTGTATGTGTCTTACAGAGGAGGAAATCGAGGCCTAGAAGTTGTCTAGGTGCCTAGCAAGTCAGACTCTGAATTTGAACCTGGGGCTTCTAACTGTCTAACGTTTTACCACTGTCCTAGGCTATTTATCATTTTGTCTTTTAACCTTACGATCCGTATTGCTAAACATTGCATCCCCCAGCCTTAGAAGTCCTTAACTTTGTGGAGCTCCTTCCTTACTTCCTGTTAAGCACTGTCAAAAGAGCCACACTTTTCATGATGTCACAGCATTGCTTTGTCTTTGGAATCTCAGCAACTCCCTTTTGCACTTTTCCCTCTTCCCCCCTCAATTGCATTCTCTACTTGACTCACTCTGATTACAGTGAAGTAGCTGAAGGCTCTTGTAGGAGTTCAGTGTGCCAGCCCACATTGTGTATTCATTGTTACTATTCACGGGAACCATTTAATGATGCTTCTGTTTCTTACACTTATGTAGGTATTAGGGGTCAAATAGAGAAACTGGATGCTTCTTTGGCTTCTTCAGAGGTAGAAGCACTGGGTGACTATAACTGATATACGTTAAATATTTTTGAATGGGTTCTAAACATTTTTCTTCTCTTATCTTTTAAATATAGACTTTGGCTCTTCTTCATAAGCTATATTTTACCTATGATTTATAGTGGGTTCTGCTTGTTAAAAAGTTCTGCGTCTCTGTTAATCCTGGTATAAATGTATAAATAAATTTTGGGGTGTCTGCTATTTAGGAATGTAGAACAATCACAAAGTACTATAAACTTAGGATCAAAGGAACTTAGAGGCCCTCCATTTCAATTTCTAAGCCAGTGTTAGAAGTCCCTGTTACGTGTCTCCCTCTCTCAAAGTGCTACAGATCTCTTGACCACCTCTCGGTTTCTCTGTGGTGGTTATGCTTTTGCATACGTTGTTCTTTTCTGACTGGGATTCTTACAACTGTCCTTATCCTTTCACCTTATACCTATTTAATTCCAGCTCAGTCTTAAGATCTTAGCTCAGCTACTACCTCTTTGAGGTAACCTTACCTGATGCTGCCTTTTCTCTACCCCCCACCACCCAATTTGATTAAGTACCTCTGTTACATTCATTTCCATAGTTCACTGTACTTTTCTGTCATAGCTTTTAATGACAGTATATATTTATATAGTTGTGTGATTTGAATGCTATCTATCTTTACCACTTGACAGCGAGTTCTGTGAGGGCAGAGTTACTCACTGGTTGCTTATCATTTTATCTCTAGGGCCTAACGTTGCCTGATACGTAGGGAATGCTTGAGAAATTATTTGTTGAATGAATGAATAAATGAACATTTATGACAGGTGGTCAAAGGTATGAATGTATTTGACAGATAAATAGTAAGTCCTTAATACATGTTAGTCACTTTCCCCTTTCTCTCCCTATGTTTCTTTTCTCCTCTTTCTTCTCCTTATGTGTGTATCTACCATTGGAGAGAATATCTAACAGTATCTTTCTTTGTTAGACAGTTCTAATTTCTATTAGATCCTCTGTTCGTTGAACTGTAACTTTCCATTTCTTGGTCTGGTGTTAGTCTCATAAG